AAGTGATTCTATTCTATTCTATTCTATTCTAAACCCGCCCGTCGGCTCGGTTCTTGGGCCTGGTTTCCCTGACGCCTTGGCCACAGAAGCAGCGAGACCCCTGGGCCCCCTGCTCTGGAAGGCCTGGGTGGGAAGGTGGCATCTATTAACGGGTGTCCTGGGGATGCTGGAGGGCTGCTAGAATAGGTTGGCTTTTGCTATAGTTTCTTCAGATTCCACTGTTTGCATCTAGGACCACGGGGTGGAGATTAGGACGGTGCTGAAGAAACTTGTTAGTGACACTAAGCTGGGATATGTCATCAACAGAGAGGACACTTGTGTCACTCAGAGAGAATGAGGTCACCTTGAGGGCAAGAGTAACTGGCATGGGATGAAATTAAGTACTACAGGGTTTGGGGTCACATCCTTGGGAACTAATACGTTCATCATTTATTCCCTGGGAGCTCATCATCTGGAAATAGTCGTGGAGAAGACTTTGCGTGTTTTAATTGATTCCACAGAGTCAGTCTGTAGTCCGTATGATGCATCCAAGGAAAAAAAAAAAGACAAATATGATATTAAGAGGTGATTTAAAAATTCAGTTGTGATTTTAAAATTCAAAGTATTTTAGGCACTAACAGGTACATTCGCTGCTCATGTTGATTATTGAGTGTGCTTCTGGTCAACCACGTTCAAGAAGCCAAACTAAAAGAGGGGCAGAGAGAATAGATGCAGCATGGAACAGCGACTCTGTTGTGAGGGATGAGAGGAGTGTTGTTCCTGGAGCGTAGCAAAACAAATATGAAAGGACTTACGACTGCTGTCTCCAGAGGACAGGCATTTTGCAATCTGAGAAGGTAAAAAGCTATGTAAGATGGAGACCTAGGCGGGCACTATAGCAAACAGGTATACACTGAACATTAACACATCCGAGCCAGAAATGAAGGAGCACAGATGCTGCCGTTAGAGGAGTGAGACTGTGGAACAGCCCTGCCACAGAAGCTAAAAATAAAATATAAAACAGATAAAATCTGTTAGCTTGGTCTGGGTTTTTTTTCAGAGGGAGCTCAGGAGGGGTTACACGGTGCCTCTGCCTAGGTTACCAGAGGGATGGATCTGGGGAAGTGGGTCCTTCCCCATTTGTGTTCTTGCTGAGCCCCAAAGCTCTCCTTTGCCAGCTACTGGTATGATGCATAGTAAGTCTTTCTAGTCTGAGAGATGCACAACTCCCTGCAGATCCCAATTACTCAAAACAGTTCCTCCAGAAAATGTCACTTTGCAGTATAACCTCTGACATTTCTTTCATTCTTCTGTTCTCTGCTCGCAGGAGTGATGACCTCTCTTTTTCCTCACACCTGGCTCAGGCAGTCTCCTGGGAAAGGAGCAGCTGTGCGGATGAGGCAGCAAGCAAAAAATCTCATCTGCCATGAGACGCCGAGGGGCCCAAAGACCAAGCAGCGTTGTTCCAGGAGATACAGGCTGCCCCAGTCACGGTTCCCTGCTCTTCCTTATCACACCTACTCATCGTGTATCCTTTCCTAAATGTGAGGGAAAGTATTAGTAATTGAAGCGTTTTATGCACATACACGTCTTCATTGTTTGTGCTCTCATTTTCTGGCAGAGCAGTAGGTACTCTAAAATAAAATTATATCCAGCATATGTTTCTTGTAAATGTAAATCTGTGCTCCTGGTTCCTGATCTCCCCATTCTTGTGAGTTCTTGCAAAGTACTGGTAGGTTCCCAAATGTGTCTTTAGTTTTCATCAGTGTCTGTTGAAACCCTTGCAGCTTCTTCCAACTATAGTGGCAATTGTGGCTTTTCAGTTCTGAGCCTCAGCCTCATAAAGAACCACTTGAATTTTGTGTTTAATAATACATTTACTTATACAGACAGTAACAGCTTAGTGTGGGGAGGCACCTTCTGCTTACTGATTTTATATTGCCTAAATAATGACCTGTCAGATCACGGGGCTTTGTGGCTTGACTGTAATAGCAATAGTGGGTTTATGTACACAGAATCACAGAATGTTTCGGGTTGGAAGGGACCCCTAGAGGCCATCTAGTCCAACCCCCCCGCAGGAGCAGGGACACCGCTAACCAGATCAGGCTGCTCAGAGCCCCGTCCAACCTGGCCTTGAATGTTTCCAGGGATGGGGCCTCCACCACCTCTCTGGGCAACCTGTTCCAGTGTTTCACCACCCTCATTGTAAAGAATTTCTGCCTTATATCCAGTCTAAACCTACCCTGGTTTAGTTTAAAGCCATTACCCCTTGTCCTGTCACAGCTGGCCCTACTAAAAAGATCTTCCCCATCTTTCCTGTAGGCCCCCTTTAGGTACTGAAAGGCCGCAATCAGGTCTCCCTGCAGCCTTCTCTTCTCCAGGCTGAACAGCCCAACTCTCTCAGCCTGTCCTCATAGGAGAGGTGCTCCCTCTTAAAGTGCTGAAGGACACCGATAGGCCTGAGGGATTGGGTCTGCACTGGGCTTTCCTCATGGTTTTCTCATGGTTGGTTGTACTTCACGGTCATTCACTGAAAAGTTCTTCCATATTTTAATACATGGTAGGAATCTGTAGCAAAAAAAAATGCCCATTTAGAAGAAAACAAGATCATCTTAAGTAGATCACAGCAGTTTTCAAAGTCCCTGCTTGATGTGACAAGGGCCAGCACACAGTGACACAGTGTGTGTGCTAGCTCTGGGAGGGGTTCTCAGTCCCCTGCAACTCTGACCAGTGACCTCTTTCATGCTGGCCTTGTGAATTACAATCTTTTTTTTTTTTTTTCTTCCAGTTCCTTCTCTTTCTCCGTCTTCTTGTCCCTTTTCTGTCCATCTCCAAGGAAAAAATTTTTTGTGGTCTTTTCCAAAAAGCTTCTTTTTAATATGGTGTTTCCAGCTCCCTGGAAATTCTGTTCTTTTTCATTTGATTGACAACCTCATGTTTCCTTTCACACCCACCCCCATTACAGATTTTTTTTTGGCTGCAGCTTCCCCAGTGCATTAAACAGACGCGCTGCTGCCTTCTCTGAGAAAGTGTTGGGAAAAACTTTTCCAATTTCAGACAGCTTTCCTTTTTATAGCACTTGCTAGCAGCATTGTGGTTACGGCTGAGCTCACACTTCCAACTGGAGACAACTAGGAGCCAGCACTGCAAGTACCAGACAGGGCTTTTCTAACCTTTGGCTGTATTGATCCTTCATATAAAATAAGAAGGGAAATGATAAGGGGCGTAATGCAATTTCATCGTTACATCATTACAGAAACTTTCAGGGCATCATGCTGCCCTAGGAAAAGATGTTTTGAAATTCAAGTGTGCTCAGCTGCTATAGATCACCCTGGGGTCTCCATTTGAATGTTGCTAGATGGCATACATGGACAACAAAGACAGCGTACAGGATCCCTTTCTTTAAGAAGCACAAGTATTTATCTGTGTCCTTATTTCCTTGGCTTCCAGTGACCCCAGAGGGGACATCCAGCTTGTAGGAGCTCCTGCTTCACCCCCACGGTCAGCATCATCCCAGCTCATTGCAGGGCAAGGGCAGAGCTTGTTGGGATGAGGCTGAAATATAACACACATCTATATGCACACATGTAAATGAGTAATTATATACATAAAGACACTTCTACCCATTAATTGGGATGCTGTGATGAAAAATTGGGACTATTTTATGGAACATGAGGCAGGCATATCCCTAGCTGAGTTTCATGCAAATTACTTCTTGTGAAACGTCGGCGTTCCCAGAGGATCTTTTGACCTGATTTTCAACATTGCTGAAGGCATTCAAATCCCACTGGGAGCCAGAGGGGTTCAGCACCTTTAAAATTCACTGGCTGCTTAATTCTGGTCAGGTGTGTAGTAGTTCCAAGACAAGAGGGAGAGCAGGGCCCTGTTCTCCCACCCAGGCCAAGGAAAATAATTTATTTTCCTGCTTTGTGAATTCTGCTAGCAAAAACAGAGATTTGTGCATTATGGTTTCTCTGACATGGAACTCTCCAGGACTGCCTAAAGAAATGATGAAAAAAGATGATGCGTTTTTGTTCCCATTTAGCCAGGACTCCGAGCTGAGTCCCAGTACCACGTGATGGGTGCTGTCCATGTAACATTTTCTACTGTATCCTTAGATGATTTGTATATTCTATATTGGTGTGAAGATAGAAATAGCACAGA